CACATTTTGCATAAAGACCGACAAGAGTGGAACCAACAAAAACATCTGAAAAGGACCCCAGTTTCACTGCTTCAGCATGCAACTGTTTCCCAAAACCTAAATCGAAGCACAAAGAACATGCTTTCAAACCAGTTGCCAATGCAAATTCATTTGCTCTCGTACCATCTTTCTTCATCTCACAGAATAATTTAACAGCATCAACACCAAAACCTTTAACTACAAATCCTTGAATTAAAGTAGTCCATGACACAACGTCCCGTTCTGGTATCTCATCAAGCACTTTACGTGCGTACCCACAATCCCCACATTTTGCATAGACATTAACCAATGAAACCCACAAATGCGAATCTGGATCAATCCCATTTTTTATTACCTGCCCATGAATAGCCTTCCCCTCATTCAAAGACCCTTGCAAAACACAGGTTCGAAGCATCCCAGAATAACGTATAAGCCTCTTTTTGCTATCGAAAACTCTAGGCCTGGTTTTCACATTGCTTCCTACCATTTCCTCATTAGTTGAACTGCCGTTATTTACTCTTACTTCATGAAGCTGAGTCTCAGAGTTTGAGACATTGCTGAGAGCCAAATCACTGATGGGATTCAAGTCAAACGCTTCCAGAGCAGCACAAGACAAGGGCTTCAATTTAACAGAGAGCAATAGTGACCTGGAACTGAGACTAAGCTTGTTATGTAATTGAACCGAAGAAGCGGGTCTTCGGCAAATGGGCAATAAGAGACTCCGGAAAGCAGGTGACATTCGCAGAGCTTTCAAGTCACATTCCATCTATTTGAAACAGTTTGTAATTATCAAATGAACCAAAAAAAAAATGGCTTTATAAAGACACACAAACAGGTTATAAAAATATAGGCAAAAGAAGAAATCAACAACACAACATAAATTACACAATCTAGAATCAACAATAGAAATGAGTGAAACCAATTATTAATAAGGAACGTTAGCAATATTACAGAAAAGTTTCATGCTTTTCACTTACATGTGCGACCAGGACGGTGACAAATGAACGCCGGCGACGTCGGTTGACGACTGGCAGCAGCTACTGCAGCTGGTGCTTCTTCTCTCTCCTTTCTCTATCGGAAGTTCCTCTCCCTCTCCTCTCTCTCTTTCTCTCTCTCCCTCACCCTCCTGGGTAGGGGTTTTGTTTAAACCCGCGACTGCAGTCGCGGGCTTTCTAAAAGTATCGTAGCCGCCGGGTCGTCTTTACTTCATTCGCTTTGTCTAGATAAGGTGAAACGATGTCGTAGACGTGTTCAGAAAGCAAGTACTAATGAAGCCCAATAGCTAAGCATAGAGCCACAAAGCAGGCCCAACAAAAGCCGAGCAGCCCCAGAAACTACAGCAGCCCAATTTTTCAACGGCTCTTTTCCTCTCAGGCTCTTGAAGCAGAGCAAACGACGACGTTTCCTGGTGTTGTAACCTTGTGGGCCTGCGATTGTGACCGAACCGCTTCGATGTTAGGGATGTTCATTCTCTTGAAGAGATTGTGGTTCCTCTCGATAAGGATAAGGATAAGGTTTGTGTTTATTAATTTTTTCTAATGTGATAAATTACCATTCTATATACTAGCCTCTCTGCATGCGCTTCCGCGCCTGCGAGAGGCTTTTTTTAAAAAAATTTAAATTTATTTTAGAATTAAAAAAGATAATGGGTAGTTGTGTTCCATAAAAATAGGATCCATTATCTGATTTTATTTTTATTTTTATTTTTTTAAATATGAAAAAGTGTGAATTTACCATATTATCCTAATTTAATTAATAATTTCAATTCTTAATGTTTGCATTAACCAATGGAATTTTATGTTATTTTGAATGTTTCACAATTCTCTGCATTTTGCTTTATATATATATATATTCAAATATTGCACTTAATATTCTATAAGAATTTACGATGAAGAGCATTTTTGTTTAATTTCCTTGTTAGGGTTTGAAATTGTTGAAAGGCATCGTTGCAGTCAAATGCAGTTTTGAAAAATGTGTTCCTTTAAGCAACATTTCAAATTGACATTTTGAAGCTTCTTTTGGAATGTTTGTTTTTGAATATGGATGATGTATCCTTTGTTTTACAATATTTATTGGCTAAATGAATTGGATTGGGTATGTATTGGACTTCAAATTAACACAAAAAGATCATATTCTTCTGCTTTGTTCTTCTCTCTTAAAAAAGCAATGATGTCTTTTCACTTAAAAAAACAATGATGTCATCACTTGCGAACAACAATTCTCGAGAAACATCAAATTAATTTATCTTCATAATTGCATATCTATACAGACTACCGAGGGTTGAAATTACCACCACTACCACCACACATTGCTTTTTTTTTTTCACAATATCCAAGGCATTCGCCCTCTTTCTGATAACCATAAAGAGTACAACTGAGCGGTTATACTCCATTTTTTATTTTTTTTTCCTGAAATTAATAGTATAGCAGACCGGCGATAATCCGTTTTTAAAATTTTTTATTCCAATTTATAGTATAGCCGCCCGGCTATACTGTTTAAATATAATATATAAAAATAGTATGGCCGCGCCTTTATACTCCGTGTTTTTTAATTTTTTTTTCAAATTAATAGTATAGCCGCTCAGCTATACTTTTCAGATATAAAAATTACGTCCCAGCGTCGCCTTCTCCTTCCTCTCTCTGTCTCCATCTCTCTCTCTCTCCGTCTTTCTTCCTAACAAGCAGCGGATCCTGCGCCCTTCAACCGCCCTTCGTCCACGCTTCAACGGCAAAACGCCCGTCCAGACCCTCCTAGAGCCGCCTAGGCCGCCTAGAACCGCCTAGGGCCGCCTAGAACCGTCTAGGGCCGCCTAGAGCCGCCTAGGGTTCAGGGTTTTGTGCATAGAACTCTATGGTTGCAGGACAGTCCAACCGAGGACATACTAGTATCTTATATGATGTTTTTGATTACTTTGAAGATGTTAGGGAACAAGGTGGAAGAGTTTTTGTTCATTGTTGTCAAGGGGTATCTCGGTCCACCTCATTGGTGATTGCGTATCTTATGTGGAGAGAAGGACTGAGTTTTGATGATGCATTTCAGTATGTGGAAGCAGCAAGAGGCATTGCTGATCCGAATATGGGTTTTGCTTGTCAGTTGTTACAGTGCCAAAAGAGGGTCCATGCTTTTCCTCTTAGCCCGAGTTCACTATTGAGGATGTACAGAATTGCCCCACACTCACCCTATGATCCTTTGCATCTTGTCCCAAAAATGTTGAATGATCCATCATCACCTTCTGCTCTGGATTCTAGAGGTGCATTTATTGTTCATATACCGTTTGCCATATATGTTTGGATTGGTAAGAATTGTGAGGCCATCATGGAAAGGGATGCAAGAGGGGCTGTTTGTCAGATTGTATGATGTTAGTTCATACGGCTAAAAATAATTCATCAGCATCCTCTTCTTCTTCACCTCTATATCTATCACCAGATTCCATATCTTCTGAATCAAGCACTAGTTCGAAGTACTTTTCAGAATCCTCTATGGATTCTCCATCATCAGCTTCATGCTCTCTTCCAGTCTCTTCAACATTGTCAAATGATTCTGGCATGTCTCTCCTCTCATCTAAATCTTCTGATCAACCCATGTCTAACAGTCCAGAAAACGTTGTTTCCAATTGTAGTTCACAGTCCTATTCTCGATCAACCTCATTACCATCTAAAAAGTTATCTTCGCTTGCTGAGCGCAGAGGTAGTTTGTCTCTCAAGTTGCCTGTGATGAGTGATAAGATGAGGCTGATGAGTACTTCCTCAAAATTTCTTTCCACTAAAGAAGATGGTGTTAGGATAAATGGCAGTACTTGTTCTGTAGGTCACATAGATGATATTGACAAGGTATTAGAGCCAAAGGATGGTGTTCAAAATGGAGGGGAAGATTCAAGACAACAATGCAACATATGCCAGAAGGAACCTTCTTTTATCAAACATTCTGCTGAACCTTGGAAAAAATTGCTCTTTGGAAGAAGGTGTAGGATCCTCTGCCTCAAAGGAGACTGGGGAAAGTTGTCCAGCACAATGTAATTTTATGCAACCTTTTGTATGCCGTTGGCCTTGTTTAGAGAAGATTGCTACATTTGGTGTGAGGGAACTAGATTCTAAATCTGCTTTCACTATTTACTCACCAAATACAGGTGTTGGAAAAAGTGAAGACAGTGTTTTGTTTCTTTGGTCTATATAAGCATGCAGTGTAGGATTCCTCATATATCCCATATATTTATTCCGTAGATTTATCTTTTTATCTCAAGAAATAAAGATAAATACTAAATACTAAAAATGAAATGCAACCATTCTTTAGTTCTTTAAAAAAAAAAAATTAATTAATTAAATGATGGGTCTAGAAGCTTAACAAAAAGATTAGCACATAACCCATTTTGGGATCATCTAAAATACAACTTAAAAAACATGAAGGCTCAAAGGAAAAGAAAGGTCAAGGAAGGCAAGTTTCTATGTTTTCATTGAATCGTTTCTCCAATTGCAATGTACAATACGTAAGAATTTACACCAATTTTGGTGGGAACATAAGAAAAAGAAAACTTGTTAACAAGAGAAATTGGCAACAATCCAATTATCCAATAGGTGATGCTCATATTGGGGGACATAATTTTAACACATTGTGATGGCATTGTTTCACTTTCTTGATGGTCATAAGAATTACCCCCATAAATTAATCAACCCATTTGCAGCCTGCCAACTCCATGTTTGGATTAGCACCTGTTCTCTGGCCTCCAAATCTGGCTTGTAATCTACTTCTAATGTCTGCTTGGTCAAGCGCCCTCCATAGTTCTAGTTCCTACCTTTCAACTTCTTGAACTCCGGAATGGCCTCCTGTAGGCGTCTGCATTTTGTGGCAGTGGTCTTTAAGATGGAATGAGCTCTTGACGACCAACTGATTCTCAGCCATAGGCAACGCATCACCATATATCTGATAACACATGTCCATGCCCCAAGCCATTCCCAATCTTAAGAGAAATTTATAGTTTTCATTCTTCATCTAGCCAGCCCTTCCAACTGTGAATAAATCTCCCTGATCATGGGATGTGTTCTATCTTGAGCAAAAAAAACATGGGTTTCAGCATTGACCTCTAGCCAGCTACACCCTGGTGCTTTTGTAATTTTCCGACTGCGCATCAATGCCCTAACCCTTGCAACATCATCCCACTGCCCATTGGCTGCATAAATGTGAGATAACAATATATAATTGAAGTCCATTTCAGGTTCAAGCTCAAATAGCTTCTGTGCAGCTCTCTCACCAATTTCCACATTCCCATGCATTTTACAAGCCCATAGAACAGTTTCCCAAATCAAGGGACTCTGTGTGAGTTTCCATTCCCCAACAAACCTTTCAACCTCATTAAATTTGCCGGCCCGACTAAAAATATTGACCATACATGCACAATGCTCAATTGAAAGAGTAAGCCCATAATCCTTGCTCAGTGAATTAAAGTGCATCTTCCCTTGATCAATTAAACCCATGTGGCTGCATGCAGAAAGAACACCTATAAAAGTAACCTCATCTGGCGGAACACCTTCATCTAGCATAATCTGAAAGGCTTCAAGAGCCTTCTTTCCTTGACCATGTTGTGAGTATCCACATATGATTGTGTTCCAGGAGACTCTGTTTCTTGAATCCAAGCCCTTGAATATCTTCTCAGCATCTTCTATACATCGACATTGTGCATACATAGCAACAAGTGCACAAGAAACATATGTATCATTTGACAGCCCAGACTTCAATGCCAGTGAATGGAGTTGTTGTCCACTTTCTAGGATTGCTGAACTGGAGCAAGCACTCAAACAACTAGAGAAAGTAAAGTTATTGGGCTTCACACCTTGTCGTTGCATCTGATTGAAACTCTTTACAGCCTTCTCTCCTTGATTAGTTTGTGCACAACCAGATATGTGGGCTGTCCAAGTGAAGAGGTCTCTTTCGATCAATTCGTTCAGAATTACATCTGCATCGTCCAAGGACCTGCCTTTGGAGTACATCCCAATGAGAACAGTTGCTACAAATCTATTAGCGTTGAGGCCACTCTTTATGATATGCGTATGTACTTGCTTCGCAAAACATACAGTTAACAGGCTGGAACAGCATCTTAAAATGCTGATATATGTGTACGTATCAGGTTTGAAACCTTGCGCAAGCATCTCTCTGAAGACATTTGGCCCATGATCACAGTTTTCACTGTCATAAATTCCACACAAAAGGAAATTCCATGAAGCTGTATCTCGAACAGGCATTTGATTAAATGCATGCCAACCTTTTTGTACAGATCCAACTTTCATGTACATTGTTACAAGTGCATTGCTGACGTAATTATCAGATTCAAAACCGTATTTAAATACACAAGCATGAATGCTTTCACCATAGTGCCAATCACCCAGATTCGTTGCAGCAGTCACCGTACTAGCAAGGGTAAACTGATTCGGTCTTAAGTTTGTGTGCCTCATTTGGCAAAACATCTCGGCTGCTTCAAGGCTTCGGCCTTGTTGATCAAGGCAGCTTATCATTGTACTCCAGGCTACTATTTTCGGATTTTTTATTCTCCCAAAGACTTTGAGTGCATCATCTGCCAATTCACACTTCGAGTACACATTAAGAAGGCAACTACCCAGAATTTTATCAAGCTCACAACCAATCTTGATTAGAAGAGCGTGCACAGCTTGACCTCCTCCTAAATTTTCCATGTGAGCACAACTCCTAAGCACAGTCAATAAAGTGAATTTACTAAACTTCAATCCCTGAATTTTTAGTCTGCAAAACCATGTCAGAATCTCTTTCCAATCACCAATCTTACCATATCCATCAAGCAAAGCATTCCATGACACAGCATTCTTCTTGGGCATGTTAAAGAACACCTTATTTGCTAGTTCCAGCTCTCCACACTTTGCATAAAGATCAACCAGAGCAGACCCAACAATCCCATCCAGAAAGACTCCTAATTTTATAACTTCTGCATGCAACTGTGTCCCAAAGTCCAACTCTAAGCTAATTGAGCAAGCTTTCAATCCAGCCGCCAAGCTTAACCCGTTTGGCATACCACCATCCTTCCTCATCTGACAATAGAATTTAATCAAGTCGTAGCTACATCCTTCATCTTCCAGCCGAGACATTAGCTTATTCCACGACACAGCATCTCGTTCTGGCAATTCATCAACAACCTTACCTGCAAACCCAAAGCTCCCCAATTTCACAAAGAGACTATCCATTGAACTGCAAATTTCCAAACTTGGGTGAATCCCATTTTTGATCAGTTGATCCTGAATCGCCTTCCCCTCCTTCAAAGGCCCTTTTGAAGTGCAACTACGTAGCAACCCAGAAGGGCCAGAACAGAGACTCGTCCTCTCGTTTGGGTTATTCTTGGATAATTTTCTGAGTATGTTCTGAAAGCGCTCATCAAAACACGACGCCATACAGTGTTCAGTGTCATTGCTAAAAGAAGTGGCTTCTGCATGGGATAAAGCGGTACTAAAGGGACAGAAAGCAGCGCGAGATTGTGGGAAGGAGAGAAGGTTGCCAGGAAGTTCAACGAAGAAATGACCTCGAAAAGCAGTCCGTAGGATACGCATTGCAGTCCCATGAAGACAAGCCTCCGAATGTGGGAATTAATTCACTCTCTCATGTTTCCTCGTACAAATAGCGAAAGCGATTGATTATAAAAAAACATTAGGTATGAATTGGACCCGTTACATCACCATATTGTATATTAAACTATTTCTAGTCTAAATTACTCTAAATTAATTTTAAGGCACTCCAACTTAAATGCAATGGGGCGGACTCATGACCATAATGGCCCACCCCAAAATATTCTGAAAACCATTGAGATATAATTCCACCAACTAATTTTCTGTTTTGCGGTACGTTTCTTTCTAAAGTATCCTTAACGCGATGAATAAATTTATGACTCTAAACTGGTCTACATATTTCAACTTTTTATAAGTAAAATATTATTTATATTATTTGATGTAGCTGTATCTAAGTGGAAATGCAGTTCAAAGGAATTGAGAGAGAGAGAGAGAGAGAGAGAGAGAGAGAGAGAGATTCTGAACGAATGGGAAGTTCCCCTCTGTTATTGATTTCTCGTCATCATAAATAATAGTCAATCCAATTTGTTTATAGTAGAATTTACAGACAGACAGCTCAAAGGAATGATTCCCTTATGACTGACTACAAAAGAATGAATCAAAGTCTCCTCCCTCCCTATATAATTATATTATATATGACATATTCTTCCCCCTCTGTATCTACAACCCCTCCCTCCGGCCACTTCTTCTACCTTTTTTTCACTGCTTAAACAATAAAAAATTTAACAAAAGAACCAAAAAAATAAGCAACTTTTGAAACCACATTCACATCACTTGCATTATTTCCAATTTCCGCCTGTTTTTTTGACAATGTTATTGTCCTAGCGAAACACGGGTCTTTATTGGTTTTAGTTTCAAACCCATGCTTTCTGGGGAGAGAAGCTCCGGGGAGATGCAAGATGGGCTGAGCGGGCTCCTAGGGCTGTCACTGAAATGGCATGGCCTATACAAGCCATACCCCATGAAGAAATACTCCATAGGTATCAACATTGCATGTGGCTGCTCCTCTGTTACCATGGATCCACAAGCCTGGACCTGCACCAACACAACCCATCAATCCTGTATTGAACACTCTCTTTGATTCTTTTCAAAATCATGCGCATCTAATGATAGATATTTAGAAGAAACAAGTATAACATGGCATGCAACATACCTCTACTAAGGCACTATATCTCCTATCCAACTTTGAGGTCATGTGGAGAGCCTCAGAGTGGAAAGGAGAGCTATCCCCAACAAAAATAAGTGTGCGACACCTTAGTGACTTCAACCCTTCAGTTATGTCAGGTCTCCTGAAAGTTGGAAAAAACTAAGTTATAGACCATCAAAATAAATTGCATTTATCTCTGTGGAGGGGAAACCAGAAAGTAAGAAACCAACTCCAGCACTGCTTACCGATTAATTGCTTGAAGAAATCTAAAAACATTTGAGCCCTGCCTCTCTTCCAGCAACTGAAGAAGCAAACATTGCAAGTAAATCAAACAGATAAAACCCATTTGAGAGTCCTGTTCCAGAAAACATGCAGTTTACCTAAAAGAAATTTAAATTAGCCGAAGCACTCACTTTTCTGCATGCTTGAACTATATCCGACTCTGGAACTTCAGCACTACCACGAACCTCCTGTTGAGAAGTATAACATACTCATCACTCAATCTACCAAAGGTAGTAGAAGTATAAGAAGGATACAAGTTAGAGCACAGCAATACCTTACTGAAGTAGCGCTGAAGCAAACACTCTTTTAGCAAACCACACATGCCATAGAAATATAGCATATTCGACATCACCTAAAAATTACAAGTAAGCATAGGTTTAATATTCGAAATTAACATTTACTCACAACAAATAAGAGCTAGGTTAGAAAAAGGAACCTTATTATAAAACCATTCTGTCCAAGAGGGTGATTTGCACAAAGGGGATACAAGTATCAATCCAAGGACACGCTCCCTATATTTCATCTATTGAATAAAGATTGATCAATGAACTGAGATTGAAACATTTTTAAACATAGTTGGAAAAAAATGAAAGGAACTTACAGCAAATAGGGAAAGGATATAAGCACCCGCTGTCACCCCCATGCACATAACTGCACCAAGCCTGAAGAAGGAGATGTTAGTGCAATCGGAACTAGGTAATGTGCAAAATCTCATCAAAGAAAATGACATTAAAACATGATTAGTGAAAATGGAAAACCACTTCTACACCTAGCTCTAATTGCAACCCATTATTAACACCAGAAAATAATGTGTTACATTTAAATGTTGGAAGCAGCAGTCAGGGTCTTTTGAAAATCAGTTGGAATGAAGAAATAGTGTTAGTCATTACCCAAAAAAGTTGAGAACCTCAAGGATCTGATCTGCCAAGTCATCAACAGAAGGCGCAGGATCATCGGGAAAAATTGAAGCAGCTCCTAACTGCAAGAACTCTTGTGAGAGTTCCAAAGAGAAACTATGTGAATGGCATTCAGTTACATAAAATATTTTTCAAAATTTATATGATTTGGTCAAAAAGTATAATAGAAATCCACTTGAAGCAAACCATTTACAGACCTCATGGCCAGGAGGACTGATATGATATATGCAGAAGTTGTGGAGCAGCAAAGAAGCCGCTTCAGGACAAAAGAATAACCCCTGGAAACAAGACATATCTGCACAATTTAAGAAAGAAAGAAAAAAAGTTGTTAGAAAAATAAACTTTGTAGAATTGTCTAATTGTGTTAAGAAGAAACAATATATTTGAGAGCTTTGATGTCCATTCAGAAAATAAGGTACTAAAATTTTATTAAGAACAGCAAAAGGTAAAACTCAGATTGCCATTTCAAACAATGACAAAATTGAGCCAGGAAAAGAGAATTTATCGCACTTACGATTTAGAGCTAAATCAGGATAAGTGATAAGTGCAGGCTTCTCTTGGTCTCCATACACAATAACGGACACAGAACCACAGCCAGTTTGTATAAAATGTTCCTGAGGATTAAAAAATTGTGATAAATGAGTAACAACCAGAATAACAATAACAGAGCAAGAAAAATTAAGCATGCTGATTGCAAATCAACAACTATATCTAATTGTCAAAGAAAACATCACAAATTTACAAGTTAAATTATTTTACCACCATTATATTTATATGATATATACATAAACATATAGCCTTTATTTAAGATATATCTACTGTCTTATCTATGTGATTATTCAAACATTCAAGTAAGGGGAAAAAATCCAGGAATCCAGCTTTCCAGATAATTTTATTCCCTAAAGTGCTTCCCATGTGCACTTACACCTTTTTCAGGGAACTCAAACTGACCTGCCACATCTTTGACATAATTTTGTTAAAAATAGATGAAACAAATAAGTGGTTCTGGATATCAATCATTTAAATCTTTTGAAAAAGGAAGAAAAGAAAGTGGTGACAGTTAAAAAGAGAAGCATGGAATCTAATATATTAAAGAAGAAAATAGCTTTAAACTAATCAGAAACTGATAAAAAAAAAGATATAGATGACATTTTAAAGCAACAGCTAGACTTGTCAATAGAGTGGAGAAATAAGACAACGAAAGGTATAACTTCGGTTTCTTCAACAGACAGTAAAACACTTTGAATAAACCACAGAGATTGACTCATCGAAGCAACCAGCTTCTTGCCCAATAAAGAACATCACACACGAAGGAAAGAATCAGGGAAAAAGAAAAAAAGAAAAACCCCCATTACTGAGTTGAAGCTTAATCCAAACAAATCAACAAAAGGGTCTAAATGAGTACTTCCTATACTAGATAATCCAAAGTAATCTCAAACATTCAACCCTTTCGCATAAAAGTTCACGAACCGGAACAAAGCTAAAAGGATATTAAAAATATAAGGAGAGTGGAAAAGAAAATCACCATTAGAACAAATCAGGTGGGATTGCATATGGAGCGAGAAGATGTTAACATATACAAATCCCAAATACACAAATGCGCACTTAAAAGGAAAGCTTCGTTGCATCTATAACGGTGAAAATGTAAAAAGAAAAATGATATCTAGCAGATCTAGAATTACCATTTGCATATCTTCAGTATCCCAAAATTAAATTTTTAGCCAACCCATTTCTAGAAACATCTGAAATTAAATGGTTTTATGTTCTTCTTATTGAACCAAGCCAAATAGTCGCCGCTGTCGCATACTACAGAGGACTTGGGGCTGGGGAAGAACAAGCATCCAAAATACAAAATGTGACTTTCCTATCTCTTTTCCTATATTTTCTATGTAACCAAACAGGAGATAACTCCAACATTTCAAAAACGGCAAAACGTATTGCAAACCAAGGTTCCCAAGAAAATAAACATGAAAGAAGAAAAATGAGAACCGTAGAAAATTCAAAATTTCGATAGATTAAACTCAATCTTTGGACCCAATGCCAAAATACTTCGTACCAAATTAACTTAAGCTTTCAGCTAGTAGACCAAATCCCAAAACAAAAGAATAAGGAAACAACAAAAATTAATACAGAAAGAAGAAAACAAATCAATCTTTGAAGTAAAGCTCGAACCTTTCCACCAAGATAGATCTTCTCCATGTCGAGGGAGACGGCGTCGTTTGATTCAGCCATGGCTAACTCTGCGCGTCTCCCAACAGCCCCTCTCTCGCTCTCTCTCGCTTTGTCTCTCTCTCTCTCTTTCTTTCTCTCTCTTGAAGAAATGTAGGCCTTTGGCTTCGTTGTGGCTTATATACAAAGCGACTCTTTCTCTCTCTAAACCGAAAAAATAACCTGCGGTTAACCACCACCGACGCTCCCACGCCTATCCGTTCTAACGGAATTTAGTCCTTAATCTTTTACCCGCAGTCAAATTCAGGCAGTTGCTTCGATACGACGCCGTATCGTCCCATATCCGTTAAGTTTTCGCGGCTATTGAATTTACCGTAATTTATAGATGCTCGTTTTTACGGTTTCCGGATTTACGGCTCATATTTTTGACTTTAAAGGGAATGATAGTGGCATGCCCCTATCATTGTGGT